CTTAAAGCGTGCAGACGAGAAGTTGAGAGTGGAGCCCGCTGCCCTGGCACGAGGTGTAGGAAGGGGGTTTGGGCAGTGAAACAACTGACTCCAGGGCGAGAAGGCACAGTCTGATGGGGCAAGGGACTTCCTCCAGGCATGTCTCCTCTGTCCCCAGCCCTGCACCCTCCAGAGCCCACCGACCAAGGAGGCACCGGGCTCGCGCCCACAGTCCCTGTGGCGCTGCTCTCTTCAACAGCTTGCCTTGTCTTTCCTCTGCAGTTGGAAGAGATCCCCGAGGGCTGGAGCCACGAGGATTGGAGCCCCGAGGGCTGGAGCCCCGAGTGATGGAGGCGCGAGCTCTGGAGGCTCGAGGCCTGGAGCCGCGGGGCCTGGAGCCACGTCGAGTGCTGGAAGCCAGGGCCATGGAGGCCAGGGTCATGGAGCCCCGGGGCCTGGAGCCTCGAGGGCCTGGTCCCAACCCGCGTGGCCCTATGCCTGGTGGGATACAGGGCCCTGGGCCACTTAACATGGGAGCTAGTGGCCCACAGGGACCCCGCCAGGTACACGGACCACCTCAGCTGGTTGGGCACTGGTGGAGTCTCGTAACTTGGGGCTGTGTGGGGATGTGATCGTGTCCTGCAGCAGCTGGAGAGGGGAAGGCGTCCCGCAGAGCAGCCCAGCTTGGACAATTCTATGACTCTAAGGAGTGCGGGAGCTGGGAGGGAGAGGAGAGCATGTAAACCGCTCAGTAGTCTGTCTCTCTCTGTGTTTTGGCAACTTCAGGCTGGCTGTGAGGGCATCCATCTGAGATCGGCGTCACGGTCCTGTATTTGTGTGGCTGAATCCAGAGACCTCTTGGTCCTTACTCTCTCTCTCATGCCCACAGGTTCCTAACATGGCAGGGGCAGGCATGCAGGGAGGAGGCCTTCCTGGGACAGGCGTCCAAGGAGCTGGTCAGCCCGGAGGCTTTAGCCCTGGACAGAGCCAGGTCACTCCCCAGGATCACGAGAAGGTGAGAGGACAAAAGGGAAAGGGTGAGACAGTGGGAGCAGCACATCCTCTGTGCCTTGCTGGGGTGAGGACAGCCCCTTCATGGCTTCAGTAACCCCCGGCTGCTCTGGTGAGGCACACCTCTGATTTCCTCCCTCTACCCACAGGCAGCCCTGATCATGCAGGTTCTGCAGCTGACGGCGGACCAGATCGCCATGCTGCCCCCAGAGCAGCGACAGAGCATCCTTATTCTGAAGGAGCAAATTCAGAAGTCCACGGGGGCACCCTGACAGGTGATGGCCTTAATCTGGCCTTGCTCTTCAGTAACTCGGAGCTGCTCAGGATGGGGCTCTGCCCTGCTGGCCAGGGCTCACTCTGCTCCCCTTCCTTCTGGCAGGTCCACGGTGGAGATGCCATTTGCCTGGATGGAGGAGACACTGCATGGCAGCTGCTTCCAATTGCTGTTGGAGCTGATGCTGCATTTTGGGAGAGGTTTCTCCTCCCTCCACTAACGTTTTCCCCTCCTATTCATCCTTTTTTTTTTTTTTTTCCCCTGTGTGTATATTTTATGTTGTTTGAAATAAAGTGGGAGGAGGGTTTTAGTAAAGCCTTGTCTCTAGCTGCCTTGTTTGGTCTTCTGTGGAAGCAGGAGTGGGACGGCTGAGTTCTGGAAACAATCTGGCCTGGCTCCAGGCTAGTTCAAACCACTTTCCTTACTCCTTTTTTCCCAGCACCACAGCACGATCTGCTCCCGGGATTTTACGTGCCATGCTGTTCGCAGGGCAGCAAGGGAAGGACAGGGTGGGGAGCTCGGGTTTCTGTCGAAGGGGTTGGTATCCAATTGCTGTATCACTTACTGCGCTGGCCCGCTCGGGAAGGGTGGGTTTCCCCTGCTCCCCTCTGCCTGTGCTCGAGCAGAATTTGTTGCCGTGGCATGAGCTGCTTTGGAAGGCGGCCTGCACGCGGGGCTGTGCGGGGGGGGCAGTGCAGGCTGGCTGCGGGTGGTGCCTTACCCTGCACCTGGGCAGCTGGCTACAAACCATTTTTTTATTACAGCCGTACAAGGGGGCAAGGAGTGGGCTCCCTTTGCATCTGCACAGACTGTGTCACCACAGAGGCTTTTATCGCAAAAGAAATCAAGTTTAATTTACGCTTTTACGCAACAGACTGTTTAAACTTGAAGAGGTATATTTGGCCACCGATGCCTGCTTGGCACACCCGTGTCCTGTCCCCATCCCACGGCTCTGCCCAGCCTGCTGGGTGCTCCCGTGGCTCCAGAAGCATCATTGCAGCACGTGCCTCTGGTTTCTTGATGGTGGGGCCATGAGAAAAGAAATCAAGTTTAATTTACGCTTTTACGCAACAGACTGTTTAAACTTGAAGAGGTATATTTGGCCACCGATGCCTGCTTGGCACACCCGTGTCCTGTCCCCATCCCACGGCTCTGCCCAGCCTGCTGGGTGCTCCCGTGGCTCCAGAAGCATCATTGCAGCACGTGCCTCTGGTTTCTTGATGGTGGGGCCATGAGGGGCTGCAGGCCCGGTCACCGCTCCGTGAGGACTCGAGAGGGTCAAGAAGGCAGCAGTATTTGAACCAGTCTTTGAACTCCCAGGGGTTTCTCCTGGGGAAGGAGTACCTTGCCATGTCTTGCCTGGCTTTTCAGCAGGTGCTTATCCCTGGCTGTGCTCCAGCATGGAGAGGTGAGATGGGCAGGGTCGCCTGCCCTCTGGTGTCCCAGCTCAGCTTCTGCTTAGAAGTTCTCCTTGTTGAAGTAGAATTTCACCTTCCTGGGGTCCAGGCTGGAGTGCTGGTGGCAGGACTTCTGCAGACTCTTTGCCAAGGCCCCCGGCCCACAGAGGAACACGCCGACTACTGACCTGCACACAGCACAGGGCCATCAGCGGCTCGGGAAAAAGTGATTTAAGAGCTTTCTGGGGTCCCTGCAACCTGCAGAGAACAAGCACACCGTTCCCAAAGGCAGCGCTGGGTGCCAGGGAGGAGTGGCTGTCTCCCAAGTGCAGCATCCTGAATTCCCTGCCCGGCTCTCACCTGGGGTGGGCTGCAGCCACTGCCGCAAACTCGCTGTTCCACATGGGCCGCCCAAAGATGGTTTTGTGCCTGAGGCCTGTCACTGTGTCCACAGGGGTGTCGAAGCGGAGCGCCACGTTGTTAGCCTGGACAGAGCAGGGACAATAAGGACCCCAGCCACCGCCCTTGAGGCCACCTCCAGTCCCTCACCACAGAGGAGCATCCATCGCTGCTGCCCGCCAAACACCGCTCCTGGACTTTCTCTCTGCCTGCCCTGGCCGCCCCGTGTCAGTCAGGTCTGTCCCCCTTGCAGTCGTGCCTTCCCGCGGTCAACTCACGATGCTGGTGTTCCAGCCGGTGAGGAATAGCCGGTAGGTGAGAAAGTCCGCCTTGCCAGACAGGGCCATCTTCTGCTCCAGTGAGGCAAGCAGGTCATTGAACCAGGCAAAGGCTCCTGTGTCCCGGCAGAGCCAGTAGAAGTAGATCTGGGGTACGGGGGAAGAGGGGTTGCTCAAGGTTGAGCAGACCAGGAGGGCTGGAGGGATGCAATGTCGAGGACTTGGAAGCCCAGGGTGGAGAAACCCACGGCTGGTCCCCTGGGGCACTCCATACCTTCTTGGTTTTGAGGGTTTGGTCAGCCTGCTGGAACTTGTACCAGATGGACTTCAGGATGGAGGCAAAGGGGGTGACCCCAATGCCCGCTCCCACCAACATGGCCACTTCGTACTGGAACACGTCTTCACTGGCTGTGCCGAAGGGGCCGTCCACCTCAATCCTGGCCAAGGGAGGGCCTGGGTAAGTGGAACAGCCTCCCCAGATCCCCAGGATGGTCTGTCTGGGTGCTCCCCAGCCTACCTGGGCATCTCCAGCTTCTGCTGCTGGAAGATGTCTATCAGACTCTCCGTCCAGTCACCAGCCACGCGGATGTGGACGGAAAAGAAGTCCTCCTCAGGCGCCGAGGTGAGGGTGAAGGGGTGCCACTCCAGCAGGGAGATGGCGGGACAGTTGATGAAGATGTACTGTCCCACCTCCATGCGGAAGCCCTTCTTCTTCATCTGCAGCTCCAGCACCCGGGCAGGGTGCATGACCACCTGCAGGGCAGGGACGGGGCTCAGCACCCACCCCGGCCACCCTGGCACGGACCTGCAGCACTGATGGCTGCGAGGGAAGAAGCTGGCAGTCAGCACATGCTCCTGCATCACCCACCTTGGTGACAACCACCTTCTGCCGTGCACGCCAGACCCGGAGGATCCGCTCAAAGATGTAGAGGAGGACGGGGGCCAGAACCCACTTCCAGGACTGCAGGGGGTGGAGGACGGCAAAGGGTTGGGGACGATCATGGCTGGAGCCTCCCAGGGGCAAGGAAAGGGCTTCTGCCCCCA